CTGCTGGTGTCCTTGTTTTCTCACTTATCTGAGTTCTGCTAGATCAAGGCTGCAATCTCTGCCAGGAAAGAGGACAGGTGGGCAGAAAAGGGCCTGAAGCCCAAGCCACTATCTGCAAAGCGCCTCTCCCTGCACCCTGGTGTGTTTGGCTTGCCATTAGGAATCAAGCAGTGATGAGAGACAGGGATGACAAGGCCCTATAACTGATAAACAGGGTTAACTGGAGAGGGTGAAGAGAAGTCATATTCCCTAAACAAAAGAGCTAAGAACAGCTCAGAACTTTCAGATTCTCCCAGAAAGTAGTAGTCTGAGGAACTGGCCGTGACCCTTTTGGGTTAGGAGGACTGGAGGCTAAATATTGAACTTATAGACTGCAGTTTGCTAGGCAGAGGTCCAAGCCCAGTTGTATAGGGGTTAAGCTGACTGTGTATAGCAAAACAACTTTCTCCCATGCCAGAATACATTTTAAGGAAATTGGACAGACTGTGTTTGTGGCTAGGAAGAAAAACTGGCCACCATACACAGCCCTGACAGTGGCCTGAAAAAAAATTGTATAATAGACTTAGATAATGCCTGTGTCTTGATGGACATGACTCCGGAGAGACAATGACAGTTTTGCTTTGTGTAGGAAGGTAAAAATAGACTTTAATCACCTCCCTGAGATGTTTGTATAGCCCTACCATGTCTCATGTATGGTAGCAGAAAATTTGGCTGCCTGAAGTGGCCACAGTGTCAATAATTATACTTCATTATGTTAATATATTATATTAATCTTTAATTCCCTTGCATATTTGAATGCAATTGCCAAAAGGGCAGGTACCCAAATAGATAAAGAAACATACCCATCAGGATTTGGTCTCTATTGAGAAACAGTTGGCAGCCTGTATACTGCCTTGCAGGCCTGTGTGACCATATCCATGTTAGGGGTGGCACAAACCTCAACTTTAGGAAACTAGGTGAGGCCCGTTTGGAACAGAGGGAAGCAGTGAAGTGGTGAGTACTAGCCCTCTGTTATGGGAATTCAGACCTTGTGAGGACCTGTGACATGTGAGACCCTGTGAAGTAATAAAGTTCCTTTAGTCCATTCTGAGAGGACATGTCAGCCCTCCCAGAAACCATATGTAGTTTAAGGATAAGTCAAGTAGGGGGAACACTACTACAGGGACAGCTGTGACTGTCTCTTTGAATATAGACACATTTTGAATTTCTTCTTGCCATTTAAAGACAGTTACTGTTTTGTTATAATACATTTAGAAAAATATTACTATGGAGAGTCCATGATAAGGACTGGCAAGGAAAATCAGAAGATCTTAAAGCAGATCAGTATATTTTCCTTTTTATATAATTCCCCCGAAATTTGGCAATGCTTAATAAATCATGGCAATACATTTATTTGCATACATTCAATAAGAGCAGTTTCCAATAGTGGTTTTATTTACCGAAAACTTTGACTGGAGTATCATGTCTGAGCGCTGAAAACTTGAAACCAATAAGAGTGCCATGAAGAAAGCCTGGTATCCTGCTTGGTAGTACTGAAAATAGATGGCACTGAAGCATCAAGCCCATGCCTTACCATTGCTGGCAGTTGGTCAGAGTAGAAGGGGAGCAATAAGGGCACCTGTGTATCCCCACAGAACTCTCATGCAGTCTAGGCTGCAAGGAGTAGAAGGGCTGTTGAGATAGGCCTTAAAGCCTAAGGTATGGGCCCAGGTGGAGTTGCTGTAGATGAGAGATTCACCTAATTCAGCAGATACTGCAGGCAGGCCTGACAGCAGCTGGATAGCTTGGCTTCCTGGCCCTATGGGGCACACTAAGATTCAATCATGAAATTCCAGCAAAGGTAGTCAATTACCATTCTTGTTGTGTTTATGCAAGCAATCAGGCCAAATTAAATACAATAGATAAATCGGTCTTGATTTGGCTTTTTTGATAAACATAGAGGTAATTTTGAGGAGAAAAATTCTATTTCAGTAAAGGTTCTTAAAAATGAAATGTTTTCTTTCCTTTCCATTAGACCATTTGTTACAGTTTGTCTCTGCCAGGTCACAAGCCCACCTCCTTCTGTGCCCAGACCTCATCATTTCTCTGACAAACAGCAAGGATCTCTTGGCTCTGAGAGATACTTCTGACCTGCCTCAGCAGGAAGTAGTCAGAGGACCCCACCAACATCCATTTTCCCTGAAAGAATTCAGAGCCAGGATCCTTGAGGCAACATATTAGGCAGTAACACAGATATTAGTAGAATAAGGACAATGGACCAACTAGTGCTACTGAATGTAGCTAAGTCTTTCCACCTCTATATAGGTAAGACAAGGGGACTCTCCAGAAGCAAGAGGGAACTAGGCTGCAGATGAAGCAGCTAGAGAGGCTGCTCTAAAACCAGTGGGGCCTCTACAGATTCTAGTAACTCTTCCAGACCCTGAACTACCCACCTCACCAGCTTACATGGAAACCCAATCTAGAAAAGCTAAAAGCTTTACTCAAGTTCTTATAGGCTTTACAGTGTACCTGGAAAGCAATCCAGAGCACATTCGAGATGCTATGACTGTGCCAACTTCTGATCCGGTCTATCCCTTCCACCCTGGTGACTCTGTTTAGGTAAAAAAATTACCACCTAAGGAATTGACTCCTACCTAAAGGGGACCAACCACATACCGTCATCCTGACCACCCCCACAGCAGTCAAGGTGGACTAGAACCCAATGTAGCTTAATACAGCACAGGCAGAAGAATTCTCTAAAGATAAAACTTTCACATGTGCCATATTACTAATTTTCTTTGTATACTTAGTAAAGGAAACCTCAAAGCTAAGTAGGTTAACAATGTTAACAACCCACAAGAGTCAATGATTTTACTCATTTACATAAAATCAGTGAAGAATGAGGCACAGTAACCTCCATCTTGTATAAAAAAAACTGCTGTTTGAAATTCTCAGCTATTGTTAGATAGTCTTTAGTCTTGTAAACTCTATCATTGTAAACTTTGTCACTTTAAGACAGTCTCTTATTCTATAAAATGACTTTCTTTTACTTCAAATAATAGAAAAAAAAAGATAAGCTTAACTGTCTGATCTTGCAAGCTAGCCATCTAATGTAATAGATTAAAATAGACTAATACTGATAATAATTCCAAGTACTAACTCTTTATGTATTTAACTAGAGGCCCGGTGCACGAATTTCGTGGGGAAGGGGTGGTAGTGTCCCTCAGCCCAGCCTAAACCCTCTCCAATCTGGGACCCCTCAAGGGATGTCTGACTGTCCATTTAGGCCTGATCCCAGGGCCTAAACGGGCATTCAGACATCCCTCTCACAATCCAGGACTGCTGGCTCCCAACTACTCACCTGCCTGCCTTCCTGATTGCCCCTAACAGCTTCTGCCTTTCAGCCTGATCACCCCTTTACCACTCCCATGCCAGCCTGATTGATGTCTAACTGCTCTCCTGACAGCCTGTTTGCCCCCAACTTCCTTTCTCTGCTGGCCTGGTCACCCCTAACTGCCTCAATCTTCTCATCTATAAAGTGGGCATAATAATACCCATTCTGCCTATCTTGTAGGCTTATTACAAGGTTTACATGGGATGTTTCCTAACCCTTCTCACTTCATGGAAAAGGATAAATTTCATTTAGGGTCCTGGAGTAAATGCAAAGTTTGTGAGGCTGGAGATGACCACTCTGGACTCTGGTTGCCTGCCTAGCTATTCCAAGGGCTGAGGGAATGAATGTATTTACATAGTTGTCTACCAATGCAGAAGTTCTGCTATATAAAAAGATTTTTTTTAAAAAAAACCTTAGCTGTATATATATACAAGCTCATATTCACATACATTCTCCTGTCATGTACTTATAAACTTTCAGTGGGGTATGAGGAATCAGGTTCAGATGTGTAAAGTTCTGGAACCTAGTCCAATGGCCATCAAGTGGCAGACCAGAAACAAGATCTCATGTCATCTCATGTAATCTGTTTGAACCTTATACTTTCAATCACACTTTATCATACAAAATTAGTTATTTTGGAAAATATTACTTAACTAATTGCCAAGGTGATAATTCAAAGAAGTGGAACATTTTATTGACTTTGACTTATAACCAAACCATTCAAAGCTATAGGGAAGATAGCAAAATTTAGTCAAAAGCTAACAATTTTATACTTGTTCCTTTCTGTGTCCATGTCCATATCTATATCCAAATCTAAATATCTTCTATTATGACAGTAAGAATCACTCAATCTTATTATGTATTTCCATATGTCAATTGGGATGTATGTCCTGGTTATATAGTCATCAGAAAGAACATAATCACTTAATGTATATGAGGTACTTAAAATAATTCTGGGCAGACTCTAAGTTAGGCACACTGTAAGTATTAATTATAATTATTCAAAACAAAGCTCTTCAATCACTCATAGGGAAAAAAACACACAACAAAAACAAATGACTCTGAACTGCACAATTCCTTCACAGCAAAAGAAATACCGTCAGACCCTGGTACACACATAATGGCAGCAGCGTCCGGGAGCTTTAAGAAATTCAGAGTCTCACATCTACAATGACAGAATATGCATTTTAATGAGAGCCCTAGGTAAATTGTGAGCAGAAGCAAGTTTGAGAAGTGCTGCTTGGAGTACTCCAAGTTGTATGCAGAAACTGTTTGGTCACTTGTATTTTTGGCAGAAATGATACAAAAGTAGCACTAACTTAGAAAATCTGCTCCATTTTATTGATGTATTCAGCCCCAACCTGGGCCACAGAATGTAGGTTGTGGAGTGGAGGTAGTGATCATGTGCCCCTCCCCAGTAGAAGATGAAATCAGAGAAAATGCTTTGTGTAAGGCACCATGAAAGTGCGTATCAGTGTGGGTATGCCATGGCCCTCGTGGAACAAGTCTGCAATCCTGCAACTGTTATGGCATACTTTTGGGAAAGTAACAAACACATTTTAAAAAGAAGGTGACATTATTAAGAAATCTGAAATTGTAAATATATGGAAAGGAGGAAGTCACTTACATTTACCCAGGGATGCTCAAGGACTTGCATGGCTGAAAATCGCTGATCAACATTGACCAACAGCATCATGGTGATAAGCTCCTGTAAAAAGGAACATTCAATTCCATTTGTCTAACTTTTAAAGTCAAAGATAAAAGCCAGAAGTATTTTTTTCTCTTTATCCCACTGGGTGTTTTCAAATGCATAAGTTCTCTTTTATTTGGAAAAGCTCTAAATCTTAAATATATGGTGTCCCAAAAAATGTATACACACACTTTGAATAATTATAAAGGCAGTGTGTATTAAATTACATTTCATTTTCAAAATTAAGCTGTCAGCTGTTAAAGTGTGTATACATCTTACTGGGACACACTGTATATCAATTCAACTTATCCACATTTACCTAATACTTTTAGAAATTAAAGGAAAGGTGAATATTTGGAATTATAGAAACATAGCTTATAGTGAATGAAAAAAAATAAAGTAAAATTAATGTTAAAATAAATTTAATGAAATTATTTTCATAGAAAAAAAACAAATACACAAGTTCAAGAATTAAAATTAATTTATTTTTCCAGGATTTTTCATTCTAAAAATAAATTTCTAAATTAATTTAATATAAAAATCAAATTTTAAAAATTTGAAAAACTTAATTTTCTTTTGGCAGCTGAATATAAAAATGTAGTTTCCCCCCTCAATTTCAGAATGGCATATTTAGGAAAGAAAGTTTTAAGAAAAGACATATAGAACTGCCAACAGCTAGTTGTTAAAATAAAAACTATTTTTTAGTAGCCAAAAAATTCTAAGAAAAATTGCTACAAAAATTTCCAGATCAATCAACACAAATAAAATAGAACTATTAAGCAGTAAATCATTTACTGGTTCTGAAATACATAAAACTTTCCCTTAAGCTCGAATTTATCTGAACCAGGAAAGCATAGTTTGAATTATGATGAGTCTGTCATACATTTGTCAACTTTGAATTAGAAGTTCTCATGTTATAAAATGGTTATATATATTTTCTCATTCCTTACATTCATAGGCTCTGAGCACCATTCCATGATGGGGATAATTTATTATTAGTTTTTAAATCCTCACCCAAGGATATTTTTTCCATTGATTTTTTTTTTTTAGAGAGAATTTTTTTTTTTTTTTTTTTAGAGAGAGGGAAGGGTGAAGGAGGGAGAGAGAAACATTGATGTGAGAGAGACACATTAATTGATTGCCTCACCTTTGCACTCCAACCAGGCCTGCAACTAAGGTACATGCCCTTAATCACTGGGAATCAAACCTGAGACCTTTGGTCTTTGGGCCTATGCTCTAATCACTGATCCAAACTGGCCAGGGAGGGATAATTAATCTTGCCAAAGTAAAGATCTACCTTTACTTCCTTACTGGGGCCAAGACTTATTAAAGCAACTATTGTTTGTGATGATTTTTGCCAGGTGCCATGGGGGTATAGGAGAAAGTCCCATCTGTCAATAACTTCCAGCTCTTATGTTTATGGAATGATGGCATGTTATGGACAGAGTTGGGCAGGTTTTTAAAAAGCCTGCTCACAGGTGAAATCACCTCCATGCCCACCTCAGCAGATTTTTCCCACCTCTTTTCACTTTTCTTCTGGCACCTTTCTCAATTCCCCTAATTTCCCTAGGTCCAGAGGTAGATTCTTACACAGTTGAAGAATATGAGAAAAATATGTATAATTTCCTATGGAAAGTGGCCAGGCCTAAGGAATAATAGAAAAATTATATAGATTGAATAATCAAAAAATAATTATTTATTAAGATAAATTTTTCAAAAATTTAAGTCAGTGCTTAGAGATATAAGTTTAAGAGATCAACTAAAATATTTTGTTTTGTGTGTATATGTGTGTGTGTGTTTATCTCTAAGTCTAATAATGTCTCAACATAAGATTTTTAGTTTTCTTAGAGGTTGATCTTTAGTTTTCATTGAAGAAAACCATATACCTTGTTAACCATTTCCTCTAAATCCTGATTGTCTTTCAAGATCCAAGTTAAATTATAGCATCCTCATGATGTATTTCTTAATAATTTCAACCTATATTGAGCTTCCTCTACTTTGGTTAACTGTTTCATTCATTCACTCATTCATTTATTTCATTTATTTGTATTGAGTATCAGTTATGTACTGGTTAGTAGGCACTAATGATAGAGTAATGAACAAAATAAAAACATCATTGCCTTCAAGGAATTTGCATTCTAATGGGAAAATAAATTGTATATGCACCTATCTATATCTATTTAGAAAGGCAGTTAGATGGTATACCAGATGGACATAAGGGTATAAGTGCTATGGAGAAAAACAAAGCACACAAAGAAAATAAGATGAGCTAGGTAGAACTGAACCTGGAAACAGGGTGCTTCTGGAAAATATTCTCTGAAAATATAAAATTAAGTCAAGACTTAAAAGAGCTGAAACAATAAGCTTCACAGAAATCTAAGGTGGGCTGAAGTCTGGTGTGGATAGGGCATTGCAAGAGCCCATAGCAGGGTAAAAGGAATGATAACAGGGAGAGATGAAACCAGGGAAGCAGAAGCAATTAAGTTGAGATGGTTATAAATAGATGAATTGATGACTTTGAATCTTAGAAAAACTAGCAATTAAACTAAAATGTGTACAGAAATCATATTTACAATATCATTTAGTCTCTGAATAATAAATCAAGATCAACAATTCCATTAAGACACACAGGCTATAAGGAAGGAGAAGGCACTAGAAACCTACCTTTGCAGAATCAGAAACATTATCCCAGTATGGAGAAGGAAAGTCTACTTGTCCCATCAAAATCTGGTCAAAAAGCACCTCCTGGTCATCACCACTTCTGTTTAGATGAATGACAACAGTAAGAGAAAAACAGGACTAAATTGTCAACTCAGGATATTCTTATGCATTGGAGCCCTTCCTTTCCCAATAAATGTGTAAAATGAGTTTTAAGCAATTGAAAATGTTAACACGAAACAGTTTTGGTAAATTGTGATAAAATGAATTTCTAAATTATAGGAAGAAGATATATGGAATGCATGTAAATTAGCATGCACAACCTGAAAAATAATAGCCATTATAAGTAAAATTCTTATTGTTTATTTTTTTGTGCTGCAGAGTCCTTTGGTGCAAGAAGGCTGATTATTCAGAGAATAGAGAAATGTTTTGTTGGTGCTAAATAAAATATTGCTGCCCATACCCACGAAATGGAGGAAAGCCACACAGCAGGATATATGTGATTACACCAGCTGCCCAGATGTCTACCTTCAGGCCATATCTGAAAAAGTAAATGACATCAGAATTACAAAGTCAAGGACAAATTGTGGGGCATGGCAAAATAGGCGATTCTCTTATTCTAAACCAAAAAACTGAACCAGACAAAATATAAAATTCAACAACAAACACTAAACTAAAACCCACCAAGTAAACAGAATTCAAGAAAAGAATAATTAAAAAAGAGACTATCTAAGGCACATCAATAAAAATCAAAGTAATGCATGGCTAGGCTTATATCCAGATATCAGTAAGTGAAGGGTTTCAGCAAAAAGGCTTATTATAGTCATGTCAATTTTACTTTATGTTCAAGTACAAGTAATTTATTTGGGAGGTGATCCCAGGAAATGCCAGCTAAGGGGAAGTGAGGCAGAGAAGGGAAGGGAAGTTATCAAACCAGTTACTAATGATGTCAACTGGAGCTGAATCTCCTTAGAAACTCTGGGAGACTGTGGAGGAACAGGAACTCAGAGTTATCCCACAGTAGGGTGAGGAGGCTGGGATAACTATATACTCATTCCCAACAGTCATTGGTATGGCCGCTGGGGTGGATGTTAATTCCTTGTCACTGTAGCCTTTTCCATATTCATTCAGGGAGAGCTCCAGCAGCCCAAGGGAGCCCCTAAGAAAAGAGTTGCAGGTGCTGTCAGGTAGAAGTTATGAAATAGGTGGTCTTCAGGGTATACAGGTAGAGCACTGACAACTTTAATCATCTTCCAAGTCCCATTTCAAACAGTATGCTAATACTCATCAAGACTTATATTTGGATAGAGACACTTCTGTTTTAGAGAATAAGTATTATTGCTTGTTTTATAGAAGAGAAAACTGAGGTTCAGAGGGGTAAATAGGTTAGCTCAAAATCACCCACTGGCAATGGCAGAGTTGGGCTCTAACCAAGGTCTTCAAGAGATCCACCAAATCCTACCTCTATTCTATACCACTCCCTCCCAGCTGGCCTCAAAATACAGTAAAAATGGAGCAATGCCTAAAATAGCAGCCTGTGAGCAAGGTCAGGCTGGGCTACAGATGTGTTCTTCCAACTCACTCAAATTAGATTAATAGAAAAGTCATCATTACCTCACATCTCACCTTAGGGGTTTCCCTATTGAAATTCCCTTATCATCCGTTTTGTATTTCTGCCTTTCTGGTCTATGATACAAGCAGAAAGACTGTTTCTAACAAGTCACAGTGGATATACCCTAGTCCATTAGCTATGGTTTTGTGTACTGACAGGAAAAAAGGAGGATTGTATTCCCTTACTGCCCCCACTCTTTCCTAATACTTGTTTAAATATAGTGCTTCAAAACCCTGCCTATGATGCTGGTGATAAATAGGATCTTTATAAAAAGAGCATTTTACTTATCAGTCCTAAGTTAAATGTTGACTTACTACTATCTAGTCGTGAACTTACATAATATTCAATTATCTAAGCCTAAATTTATTTATCTGCCAATCAGAAATCATACCATCTACTGAAAGAGTAAGAATTAAGTAAAGGAGCATAGTTCCTGGAAAAGAATAGGTCCTTGGTAATATTAGGCCAACCTCCCTTCCTGCCCCATTCTAGAAATTTTCACTCTTCTTTATACTGCTGCACATAGATACCAGCAAATTCCCAATGACCCTGTGATATCTAAGGGTGTTTGTACCTCACAGATAATCAATAGTGCCAAAAGGGCCAAAATGGAACCAAGTCTGAAGAATAAGGCAAGCTGAATGAAATAATGAAAGGAGATTGTAATCATGGCACACCATACAGCAGTGTCTGCTGCTTTTATCTCCAAAAGTGAGTTAATTACCAACACTGTATGTTTTTCTGTTACTCCAAACATTTTTTACTCTGAGGTTAACAACTGCTTCTATCTTTAACAGAGGCCAAATGGAAGCCTTAAACAAGATTGCAGTAATTGGCAATTTGGGGAAACAGAGAAAATGACTCCCACTTTCAAGTAAAAAAGAGTGAAAAAAGCCTGATAGCTAATTGTCTGGATGGGACAGAGCAGTACTGTTTCTCCTATTCTTGACTCAGAATAGTTCTTTGGCAAGCACATCTCACAGGAAGCACTTACCCAGTCTCTGCAATGATTTCTGGAGCCACGTATGTTGGGGTACCACAGACTGTGTACAAGGGGCCATCCACAATGGTGGCCAGTCCAAAGTCACCCAGCTTCAGTGATTTGCTGCCATCTTGGTGTTCATACACCTAACATGAAAGTAAAAAGTAAAATCTCCTTAATCAAGAGCTCAGAATCTCTTCCCTGAATAAATGAGGAACATTGTGGTTTAAATTAAATGTATTTATGATAAAAACTTCAGATAATTATGCAAGGTTATACATATGAGGATATTGTTCTTTAGATTACTGCCAAATTAGAAACATGTTAAACAACCAGCAAATGAAAATCTGTTAAATAGATTATGACATATTCATAAATAAAATGCTCTGTGGCCAAAAAAAATGGTGATGTAAATGTATTGAAATGAACTATGTTTGGAAGTGAGGACAGCAGATTTCAGATTGGTTTGCATTAAATGTCTATTAAAGAAAAAATAAGAACAAAGGAAAATGCGTGACAATGGTGTGTATGAATCTGGGTAGTAAAATTATGGGAGTTAGCTTTTTGTTTTGCTTATCTGTATCTGATGTTTCTACAATTAAAGCTGATTTACATAATACAATGTAATATAGAAAATCTCTAGTGAAATATCTCCAATTTCTGAAAATCATTACCTCTTTCTTTTAATGTAAGAAGCTTTAAAAATGCAATTCTTTAGTAATTAAACAGAAAGATCTACATGTATAGTAAAATATTTTTTAAAGTAAGTAACTGAAAAGGATATTAATATTTCATTTCACCTGTGGCAATTTGGAAAGATTCACTAAATGTGGAGTCAGCATTCTGCCCAAGTTTCCTTATTAAGGCAGTAAAAGTCTCCAGACTTTCATACCATAAATTAAGATAAAGGTGCAAGCATTTACACTGATTTAGTTTTAGCCCAGGATCAAACTAAATGGATCAGCTCTAAAATGTCTCCCAGCCCTACGTAGGTAGAGTTTTAGCCTGAGGACTGAAGGGTTCCAGGTTTGATTCCCAGTCAGGGCACATGATTGTGTTGCAGGTTTGATCCTCAGTAGGGGATGTGCAGGAGACAGCCAATCAATGATTCTTTCTCATCACTGATGCTCTTTCTCCTCCCTTCCTCTCTGAAATCAATAAAAAATATATTTTAAAAAAGGCTCCCAAACAATGCCTATTATTTCAAAGAAAAGATCAAAAGCACTCAGAATTCTGATTCAGTGCCCACATTGAAGTCAATAAGGTAAAGAAAACAATAGTTAGAGGCTAGTATAACCAGCAAAGGCAGGAGATGCCTTCAGGACATGGCCAAGTGTTCCTTGTACATCAAATAATTCTTCCAGCAAGTTGAGGTCTACATGTTCTTCTGTTATCACTCTATGATCATGTGTACTTGCTCCAGCAGTTTGAACCTTTTAAACAGGAAGGCACATCTCCTCACATCAGAAGTGCTGTTACCATTCCCACATCATGTCTGCTTTTTGAAAAAAGTAGATTAACTTTTCATTTCACTGCAGCATAAAGTGCAGATGTTTGGCTAGCTAAGCTGCATTATCTACAATAATCATTTGTATCTAACTGTTTTGGCAGAGTCAGATCCTTCTCTCTGGAAAGACTGCATCTTTTCTGGGCAGAAAAATTGTATTTTACTTTTTCTCCACACTCAGAACATGGAGTCCTCTCCCTAAGGACATGACTGTGGTCAAATGGAAGCTGCCTTTGTGCAGGTGCCCAGAGGCTTCACCAGCACTTGGGTTGTTAGGATAAGAACAACTGTGTGTATTTAACAGATGTGGCTTTGCTCAGTTGTTATCAGGGATGGACACCATCCTTCTTACTTTGAAGAGGCAGCTGTCCATCCCTGGTCAGCAAAAACAAGTTTGAGTTATGAACTTTAAGCTATCAGAGCTGCAAAGTATAATATCATCCATAGACTGACTGAATGTTCTTAAGCAAAAGAAGTCCCTGAATTGGAGTCTTAGCATGTTAGCCATTCTTGTTATCCAGTGATAAAGCAAATGTTTTTCATGAAAAGAAATCTAATATGAAAACATCAAGTAGATCATTAGATTTGTTTCTCAGAAAGAGCCATATTTTTATTTCCTTAGTTCCATTTTGTTAACAATAACCTTTCTAAAAGGCAAAGTAATCTCTTGCTTTGATGTTGTTAGGTCAGATTTCAATTTTCACAATAACATTTGCACAGGAATCTTGTGTTTTTTCCTAAATATATTATCTATAATCATCTAGCTTTACTCAAAAGTTGGACAAAAGCAGATTTGGCAGATCCAGTCATAAGTTATATTTTAGTTCTGAATATGGTTATTCAATTCTCTTTATTATTATTATGTTTTTAATCCCAAGGATATGTTTTTATTGATTTTGAGAGAGAAAGAAAGGGAGAGAGAGACACACAGAAAGAGAAACATTAATGTGAGAAACATTGATCATTTGCCTCCTGCATGTGCCACATAAATATGTGCCCAGACCGGGAATCAAACCTGCAACCTTTTGGTGTACAGGATGATGCTCCAACCAACCGAGCCATTTGTCTAAGTTTACCATGTAATTCTCTTACATAAAGCAAGGTTTTATTTTTGAACATCTACATTTTGATAGGCATTCTACCTTACATATAGCCATATGCCAATTATATTAATACAAAAGGCCTGGTGCATGAAATTCGTGCACGGGAGAGGAGGGAAGGGGGCAGCGGGTGGCTCTCAACCTGGCCTGCATCCTCTCCAATATGGAACCCCTTGGGGAATGTCTGACTGCTGGATATCCCACTTATAATCCAGGACCACTGGTTTCTAACCACCTGCCTGCCTGCCTGATTGCTCCTAACAGCTTCTGCCTGCCAGCCTGATCACTTCCTAACTGCTCCCCTTCTGGCCTGATGGCCCCCAACTGCTCTCCCTTGCAGCGACCCGCAGAGCCATTGGAGCCCCACCTCCACTGTGCATGTGGCCATCTTCTGGTGGCCGTCTTGTGGCGCCACCGTGAGAGGGTGTTGTGCAAGGGTGTGACACCACATAGGCTTTTATCATAGAGGATAAAAACAATAAAATTCAAAGTTTCAATAACTAAGATATAAAGCATTAAAAACTTACAAAATAAAGAAAATTAAGTTTACCTAAAAGTAACAATACTTCTTAAGTAAAGCAATACAATTTTAATACAATACCTATAATCTATCACTTTTAAAAAATATATATTTTATTGATTTTTTACAGAGAGGAAGGGAGAGGGACAGCAAAAAACGTCGATGAGAGAGAAACATTGACCAGCTGCCTCTTGCACACCCCCTACCGGAGATGTGCCCGCAACCAACGTACATGCCCCTGACTGGAATCGAACCCAGGATCTTTCAGTCCGCAGACTGACGTTCTACCACTGAACCAAACCGGTTTCGGCTAGAACCTATCATTTTGATGTTCTTTTTTCCCCTCTTCTTAATCACCTTTACAATGTTTGCCTTCTTTTGTTTGTTTTGGAAACTGTATAGTAGAACTTTTATGAACATAAAGAGGTTACACTGGTGCTTATAAGAGAAGTAAGAGCTTAGAGATGAAGGCTTAATACATTTAATTGAAAACATTTGTAGATGCAACTACATTGGAAATGATTTAGGAAAAAAATATTTTTGCAGGTCAATAAGTGTCCGGGGCATCTAGGTTAGAATTCTGTTTAGCTTACTGTGAGGCAGGGCAGGAAACATGGTTGCTCTGCTCTGTCAACACTTTGAGAAAAGGATTCAGAATGATATATTCCAGGTTACCTCTCCTCCAGTGGAAGAGTACCTCTCTTAAGTCATCTAAGTAGCCAGCTCACAAATGGGACTCACCATTAGCGCCTATGCTCACCTTTGTCTCTTCCCAAGTCAATTACAGAGGGGCATGAGTGAGGCCATTTAAAAACTAAAACTCTGTTAAAATTACAGATTGCTAAATACACACACACACACACACACACACACACACACACACACGCACGCACATGCACAGAGACCTTGGCTTATCCCACTCTCCAGATAGATTCTGACTTTGTTTTTCTTCATGCCTCCTCATCCTGACCATCTTCCAGAAAGGACATCAAAGGCTACAAGCATAGGTTTGGACAGCCTGTTTCAGCAAGAGGAATTCTAGCATAAGAACTTTTTGCTATAACTGTTTTTGAAGACTTCATAAAACATGACTCATACATGAGGTGGGAATATATATTAATTGCCAATCAAATAATATTGATAACATAGAATATCATTTAATGTTCATCCCAGGCCTTTAAATACTATAGATGTTTTCCTACATTTTAAACACTAACGGGCTATTAAAGAGATGAGGATTAGTGCAAATTATCCAGCATGTAGTGTTTTCACTGTTTAAACTAAGCAATAAAACTGGGTAGTTGTACAACACTAATTGAATGCAGCTACACATAATTGTGAACTGCCATATGCAGCCTATTATCATACAGACTGTCAGTATTTTGTAAGCTATTCTTGTGATCATTACAGATGGCTACAGTTAGAGAATTTGTTCTCTAGGGCTTATTATATAGCTATCAAGACAACCCATTATTTGACAGACTAAATGAGCTAAATGGCAACAATTAAGAAAAGGTTCCATTTATAAGCTGAAGGCATCTTCTACAAAGACTAGATATAATGAAAGGGCAAGTATTAGATTTTTGGCACACTGATATTTTACACAAGATTTTTCTTTTTGAAAGAAAATTTTTATTTTTGTTTCTTTTTCATTTATGTGAGGTTTTCCAGAAGCTGTAACTTTCTGAGCAGTAGATGTTTGGGCATATGTCTGATTTCCCATGAATTAAAAACTGACACTATTTGGAAAAGTTATTTGAAAAAGTAAAAAAGTGAATATAAGTCATAAAATGCAGCCAGTGGCCATAAAATATGAAAGTTCACAGAAAATCTGATCTTGGTCAAATGGTCTCTTTTTCAGAAAATATATCTTTATTGTTGAAAGTATTACAGACGTCCCCTTTGTCCGCACATTGATCCTCTCTTCCCTGCTCCCCCCTCCCCAGGCCTTAACCCCACTATTGTCCATGCTCATGGGTCATGCATATATGCATGTAAGTTATATGGTTAATCTCTTCC